AAAAATCAATCGTTTCTTTCTTCTATGCAGCTGCAACTGCAGCGGCGGTAGAAAATATTACATCGCCTCTCCGCGGGATGAATAAGCTCTCTCGCGTCTGCATTATGTATAGTATCTATCGCACATACCTCGAGCGAATAGTTATGTGTGTGCCAGTACTACACGTGAGCTTGCACTATAAGGGAGAGAGAGAGAAGGATTAAGGTCAAGAGCACATAAAACAGACCGAAATAATTCGCGCAAAATTTCATACGTATACATTGCCGCTGCTGCTCGTCGTTGGCTGCACGCGAAGGTAGCGCCGTTTACACGGACACACACAGACACGAAGAAATGCAGAATACCCATATCATATATATATATAGGCGAGCTTGCGGAGAGATCGATGCGCCCATACGAAGTATACACACGCGCACTTGCTCGAGTTGAGGTGCATACCGGCTAGGTCGAAGGTCGTACAACCCTAATTTTCTCTTTCCACGTAATAATACACACAGACGGACATTTTTTCGACTCTTTCGCTGCCGCTGCTCTCGGTCAAGCATTTTTATTCGCTTAATAAAGTTCGAGACATGCATTATGTATCCGCTGGCTAGCTCCGAGCTATATAGCAACTAACTATACAATGAAAAAAGCGCGGCAGAAGCGCACTGGACAGGCGGCGGCGTCGACTCATTGAATTATTGGAGCGCAACAATCGAAGCTTTCTCGCGCTCGCACACACGGATCGCCTTTTTTGTGCCCAGCCGAAAATCGTATATGTACATTATAATGTAGCCGAACGTGTAGCGGAGTGGATAAAAAGCAGCAGCAGCATTTAATGAATCGAGCTTTATATTATTATTTCGTGGTTAAATAGGGTCGAGCGAGCTTTTTGTTTGTACATTTAATTTAATATAATATAATTCACGAAGCGCAGCGCGAGATAGAGAAAGAGAGAACTGTTTTATAATATAAATGAAATTCAATGAACTCTCATCGGTTTTACAATTATTATTTATTATTCAAATTCGAACGAACGAATGAGCACGTACGCGTATACACTCGTATGACCAGCAGCTGCTGCACTTACACGTGTGTGCGCCGCACAGAGCTCCGGGTTTGTGCAGTTGTTTTAAGCTATACGCGACGACGACGACGACGAGCAGTGGCTCGCCTACGGTATGTATGTGTTTATATACATGTGAAATTTTATAGGTCACTCGACGTTGCGCCCCCCGCTTCCTCCTAGCTCTCCGTTTCGCGCCACGCCAAATGCATCGAGTTTCGATCTCTTCTCTCGCTTTTTTTTCATTATCGTTCGGTCTTTTGTTAGTTGTTGTTGTTGCTGCTGGAGAGCGTATACGATAGACGTTACTCGTTTGATACGCGAAAGATCGTATAATTATAATTACGTATTTTTTTTTTTTAATTAGTACCAATCTCCCTTAATTAAAGCACTCCAAATCATAGTATCTCTCTCTCTCTTATATTTTCTCGCGATTACTCGAAAAGTAAGCCACAAACCTTATCGTATGCACACTCGTGTATATATAATATAATACAAGAGCAATTTATGAGCCAAGGCCGCCGCCGCCACCGCAAACGTCGACGACGACGCGAACTGTCACAATTCATCGGATGAATCATAATTTATAACGCTGATTTGCCCCGCTACGCCGGGGGTTTTCTTCTTTTCTCTCTCTCTCTCTCTCTTTCGCGATTTTTCTTTCATTCTCTTTTACTTTTGCCTCTACACACTCGCGTAGGCTAGCATAGGTATATATTAGCGAAGTCATACAAAATAACTCTTGATATATAACGCGACGGCGGCGGTGGCGGCGGCGAGGTTGTCGCGCGCGCAGTCATCGACATTGATGCGTGTAATAATAACAAAAAAAAAAGGAAAAAAAGAAGGGAACGATCTCGTCGCAAGGACTATACTTTTTATACCGCAAACACGTAATACGTCACACACAGCTATAAGCAGGTAGATAGATACGCACGTCGAGTGAATGCCTCGTACGTACACATACGACGTCAAATATTAAAAGAGAGATAGAGAGAGACCTAGACACACGCATGGAGGCTCGTCGTGGGTAATACAACGAAAAAAAAAAAAAAAAGAAAAAAAAAGAAGTGTTCGCGACCGACAGAAGAAAAGAACTTTGTCAAGTAGGTTGCGGCGCGCTCGCGGTTCGATTAATCTTTTCTACCCGACGCGCGTATAACAGTTCGCTATACGGGTATAACAGTACGTGTGTTTATAAATAGCAACTACTCAACTGGCCGTTAGTATTTATGTATATACGTATACACGGTTTTATATACGTTAGCGAGCTTTATTTATAGACGCGAAAATTGAACCTCAATTGTGTGTGTGTGTATCTGTATGTACGTACATACTAGTATCATTACATAAGAATTCAAACGAGGCTATATAACAGCCTTGCGCCGATCATCATCGTACGCTCGACGTATAATGTATCTGAGCACACGTGTGGCCACGTGGTTTTTTATACTACTACTACGTCTGACCGTAGATTGATACGTGTCACTTACGCGCGCGAAAGCATGGCATATGGCATATCGTGCGTGTGTATAACACGGAGCACAACGCCCCGAAAAAGTTTCGCGACTTTTTTTTTATTTCGTTTTTTGACTTCCAGCCGGCTGCATATGTGTTTATGTGTGTGTGTGCGTGGTGGGTGTGTATATTGCGACGAATGTCATGTATATAGTAGCAGTATAGCGCACAGCGGGCAATATATGTATACAGAGCCGCAGCGTGAAAAAGAATAGAGGTTTGTGGGACGCGCAGCTTTCTCCGCTCGCTCGCTCGCTCTCGCTCTTATGTAACGATGGTATTTGCTCTGGCCGTTGCTGTTGGCGCGTTGCGTCCGTACAATACATACATACGTACGAACGAGCTGTACACTTTTGGGCGCGAGCTTTTCTTTCTTTTTTTCTTTTTTTTGATTCGTTAAAGGGAATACGACATCGCGATCGTCGACGTTCTAGTATCGAATGTCATCGCACGCAGCGCACACGGTGTACAGCACGAGGCGCGCGACGTTCATTCATGCGCGCGAGCTGCCCGTGTGTTATACAAAGTGTGTACTTAAGCGTAATTATCAATCGAACCACATCGCCACACACACGGCACGCGCCGCGATACTATAATATAACGAGCGCATTATCGACGCGCACACACACACGTAATAAAAGGGAGGGTAATATCATCCGTATTATGTACGTTATACATGCCATATATATAGCATATGTAGAGAACGAGAGAGAGAGAGAAAGTCTGGCATATAGAGTAAAAGGAATCTATATATTAAGTTGTTTCTTTTGGATTTCTCTCGAGATTAGAAGTCTTACAATATTGATGCCTATGCACAGACACACACACGCGCAAGAGTCGCTGCTATAGTATAAGCCCAACGAGCTTCGGCTCGACTCGCTTCTCTCTCCCTCGAGCTGCTAAATGTGCATATATATACGAGTGTGTATGTGTGCGGCGCGAACTTACATTATGAAGCTTCGAGTCAGTCTGTGTATATACCTATCGCTAAGTGCACGTGCGGCTCTCTCTCTCTCTAATTACATCCCCGTGTACGGCTCACACACTCTTACACACACACACACACACATATCTTGGCTCTCTCTCGGCGCGCTCGCGACTAAATTTCACAAGCGCGACTCTCTCTGTACGCGAATCTCTCCTCGGATCCTCGCCTAATACTGCTATATACATCTACCCTCGTCGTCGTCGTAGGTATATGTGTGTGCGTAGCTCTCGACGGTCGTCGCATTTTTTCGAGTGTACGCGCGCGCGTTACGGCAGCGCGAGCTTTTACATTATTATCGCTACTGCCGCTGCTGCCTTTAGTTCTTTTTTTTTTTTTTTTTTTATTGCTATACAGNTGCTATACAGCTGCTACTGCCTTTTTTTTTGTACCTAAAAATTGGGTCGTATTTATGAGGGGTTTACAGCGTTAAAAAAAAAAAAAAAAGAAAAAAAGAAAAGGAGAAAAGTAGGCTAAAAAGTGTAGGGGCATGAAAAATTGATGGAAACACCGCCTCTGCCTCGCGTTGGCGCGCCTATGTACAAGTATACAGCAGCAGCAGCGTGTGTCTGTCTGTGTATGTGTTCCATGTTCTACGTGCGTGTGTACGTGCAGCTGAAGTAATCAGTAGACTTTTGCGAAACAATGAATACATAACGACTTTCCTCCTGCTCCTCCTCTTCTTTTTTTTTTTTGGTCGGTACGTACGTACGTACGGCTGTACTCTCGCACACAGTCGAGAGCGGGCGCGTTAACATTTTTTTCTTTCTTTCTCTCTCTTTTTTATTTTTCGTGTTGCCGTATCAGCATCGTCATCTGTATCAAGTGAGTATCATCGTCATCATCATCATCATCATCATCGTCGTCGTCGTCGTTGCACACGTACACATGCGTGTGCACGAGTGTCTGTTCTTTTTTTTTTTCACTCTCGCTCGCGTTCGCGAATGCCTATCGAAGCCCTACGATGGAGAGCAGCACAGCTCGATGTTTGTGTGCCATACAGTACGATATATACATAGCTGCACTCGGTCGGTCGGTCGTAAAGGGGCGAAAGAGAGTAAGAGAGAGAGACGAGGGCCAGTAAAACAGCACTGGCACACTTTGGCCGAAGAGAGAGAGAGAAATCCTCATTAAGCTCGCGAACTTCACCCTGCTGCACTTATCGCTCGCGCGCCCGCACAAAAACATTTGTATTACTCTCTTACCCTTCTTTCTCCCCTTCTCTATACTTGAACGAACGAACGAACGAAGCGAGTGCATAGGATCGACGAGAGAGAAAAAAATACATAGCCTAAATACATGTATCTACACAACACACAGACACAAATTCGTCGGTCGATAAATCGGATCGATCGTAGTACGATCTGACCCAAAACTGAACAAAAAAAAAGAAGAAGAAGAAAATATATAGGGGATGTATCGCGCGTCGTGTGTAGAGGGGCCACTCACATTATTGTCGCCCGCTTCGTGGTTGTAAGCCTCCGTATATAGAATATCTTGTCTTTCACTCGCTGCTGCTGCTCTTCTCGCAGGCTTACAACCGCTTCTATTACTAGTACTGCCGCTGCTGGTACTCATCGTTGTCCTCTCTTGCGGGCGGCGATACACATCTTTTCTGTGTCAGAGATTTTTGTTGTTTCGTTAGGGTATATATCTTCGGCTGCAGGCGAGAAATAAAGCTCCGATATACACACACACGATCACCGGTAGATATATTGGAGGGCTCACTCAATATTTACTATTATTTTGCACACAAACACGATGACTTTTTTTTTATTTTTCATCTATCGCACCATCGGCGCACCAAAATCGTGTTGTCATCACTCTCGGAGCGAGGCGAACGATCTTCGAATCGTCGCGCGCCTTCCACAGGGGGAGTAACAAAAAAACAGGGGCAAGGAAGAAAGGAAACGTAAAATATTCGAAAAACGATCGTTTCCTCGAACTTTGATCTCGACCGTAAAAATCGAGAATCGACCTCTTTCGATAACCAAAATAGGTTCTTGCAAAAACGACTACGACTCGTAGCGGTTTACTTCGGGGAATCGCGAGATCAACGAAAAATTAACCGCCGCACACACTTGCGTAAATAACGATACAATTACTGTACGTGAAAAATAAGGAGACCGAGAGAGAGCGCGGTTTCAGTTATGCGTTATTTATGTATATATAATATAGGCACGCGCTCACACGCGACCCGCGATCGCCGGACTGAACTGCTGGTGCTGCTGCGCTGCGCCGTGCGCCACCCCCTCGTCGTCGTCGTCGCTGCTGCTGCTGCAGCTTGCGAGCTTTGATATCCACTCTCTCTCGAATGTGTGTAAAAGGAGGTGGGGGTTGGAGGAGCAGCAGCAGAGCACTATAAGCTTCGTCTCTGTGTGTACGTGAGAGTAGTGCAACTACTGTATATACATATACTTTTATGAGGGTAGCAGTGGTAGTGGTAGTACAGTAGCGGGGGGCCGAAAGAGGGAGGTTTGGGGGGAGGGTTAGAGAGAGAGTCGCGCAGGAGGAAGTTAAAGAAGACGCACGCGCGCGCAATTTCGTCGGTCGCCTGCCTGCCTGCCTGCCTGCCTAACTGCGTGCAGTGCACTAATGCACCACACACACACATCTCTCGCTAGCTCTATAGCGCACTTCTACACACGTCATATTAGAAGGATACCTATGATACCGATGTTTTCGAGTAAAGGATCTGATTGGGGGGTTACACATTTTCACCTTCTAATTTTGATTCCGTGCCGCAGAACAAGCGCGTTTTTTTTTCTAAGCGACGACGACATATAGCCTTTAACGGATTGACACACTGCGCGATTCATAAAGTGGAACAGTGCGCGAAGTTATATTCGTATATAATATAATAAAATAAAAGTGTGCGCTGCAAGTCGCGAGCTTGCAGGTTCACACGTAATCTCATTATTGCTGATTTGCCATTTGCATATAATCTGCGCGCGTGCGGGGGGCTGCGGTGCGCGCATTAAATTTATACACACGAGTGTCGTGCCGCCTGATTTCTAGCTGCACAGCCGTCTCTATATGCGCCAAGGGTGCCGCACGAAAGATATTCATCTTGTTATATACTCGCGGTTGACGCAGCGAAGAAATATGTATGCAGGCGACTTTCTTCAAGGCTTTTTTTTTGTTCGAGTGCGCACGTGAGCTTCGAGCGAGCGATTGAATTGATTATACTCACATACGTTTTTTTTTTTCATTTGATGCAGGTGTTTCGCGATAACGAATTTACCCCTGATAAAAAGTCGCGAAAAATCGCTGGTAATTTATATGTTATACATAGGTGCTCGTGTGCTAAGAATTACTTTGATAAATTATAGAAAAGAGCCCACCCCCTCCTCCCCGAAAATGAGATTTGTAAATCAACGAGCCGATAAAGTCGAGCCGCGCGACACGATTGGATTCGCGCGTGCGTTATACTCGGTACACACAACTGATATTGGTCATTCTGAAAAGAAATACGTTACTTACGTTTCCTTTCCTTTTTCCTTATATTTTTTACTGTGTCCAAAGACCAGTAGCCCGTAAGTACGTACGTGCGGCAATTGCAACTTTCGACCATCTCGTGTATGGGCTTCTGCTGCTGGCCAATCTCGTATTTATCGGTGTACAAGAGTACGCGCGCAGGCCCCTTCGAGTTGGAAACATTTTTCTGCAAAAACGTATCTCGAGTAATTGACGAAAAAAAAAGCTGTCCAAAAGTTCGTACACACCGGTACGATTACATATCAACACAGACACCCCGCCACACGTGCGTGTAGTAATTTATAAAAAAAAAACTCTCGTCGCTTGTACGTAATTCGACGAATGAAAAGTTTTACCTAACCGAGTGACGCGTCACTGCAGTAGAATTAGAAGAAGTTGAAAAAAAAAAAGAAGAGAGCGTACGGCAGTTTTCATTCACGCACGGTGTATTTATCCTACCTCTACGTGTGTCGAGCTAGCTACGAGCTTCTTCTTCGTTTTCTTCTTCTCTTTGGCGCGCGCGGAAAAGGTCAATTTTGAAAAGGGCGTCGCGATAAACTCTCTCTCTGAGTAAAGTCTGTGCTGGGCACCACCGCAGCAGCCAGAGCTTATACTACTGCCCAGGGCGTATTCTCTATATATCTAATGTGTACACACGGAAGCTCGACCACGTCGTCGCGCCTCTCCGCTTTTCAGTTTGTGTATAAAGCGCCTGGGCACTCGTTAAACACCCCAGCGCGTATATAATATAACGCATGTGTGCTTTATCGCGCTATCTCTCTTGAAAATTGCAGAGCTTATCTGTATGCGTACACAATATATTATTCCCTCAAGAGAGAGAGAGATAGGTATGCGGCTATTTTATCGCGATCTGATTCTCGCTTTTATGCGTTTACGTACGCTTCAACGTGTTTATTCCTCACCCCCTCCTATATATATGTACGCGCCACTTGACCTTCGCTCTCTCTCTCTCTCTCTATCCTTTACCTCGCGGTGACAGGTGACTACTACCACATATATATACAGCAGCGATGCACGACAACGACTACGACAATTGAATCTTGACATGGGAAGGGGTGGTGAGCCGTATAGTTGTGCAGTGCCATACAATCGCAGCGCGCAAACGACGTGTACGCGCGCGTCAAGCGGCACGTATATAACATACATACGCAAGCATACAGTTACCATAATTAACCCCGGAAATGCGTCTCTCTCTCGGTGTGGATTGTTTGCCTGATGTGTGCCGCCGTGCTGTACACTGTACTGTGCGCGAGTAAACGTCAAAGCGTCGTCGTCGTCGGGTGTACATATATATATAACCCATTGCTCGAGACATTAATTGGCCTTTGTGCCCTCCTCTGCTGCTGTTCTGTGCGTCAACGTTACGTTAAGTTTATACGTATACGTGCTCGCAACACTCCATTATGTATTTGAGCGTAGTGTGGTGGCGGTGCGACAAAGGTACCCCGGCACGCGTATCACTTGTGAACCCGAACTCGAAGCTTTGAGGTATATTATACCCGTCAAGCTTTGATTGCGTCGCATCGCTGTGTAGTCTAAACTATATGAAACTTAAATTTTGGGTAATTTTTTCAAATTAGGATATTTCCACTTTATCTCCGCGCTATTCGATCAACCATAATATATGTAAAATTCATTCATCGGCTGAAATACGATTTCGCTTTTATATTCGTTTCGTTCATCATATACGCGTAGTATTTCCATGAAAACGTCATTTTCTCTCTCCGATCCTATGTACATGTATATACACGCGTGGGAGAGCGGCTGGGACGCTATCATCAACCGAGCTAGAGGGATGGGTTTTTGTATGGAAAGCACAAAAGGGAACGAGCGATTCAGTTCCGAAAACAAAAGAATCCTTGAAACTACCCACACACAATATGGTTCGACGCACAGGTACACGTATACGTGCTCGCGGTGTGTAATATACGCGAAAAAAAAACGGAAATGGAATTTGCCCTCCGCGCGGATAGTTCGAGAGATTGATGCTTTAAATTACGCGCGCGACTCGCAGTGTAGAGAGAGAGAGCTTTTAAAAATTTCATCCGCGGGATAGATTTGTGTATGTACGCGCGAGCTGAGTCGCTGCATATGGGAATTTTTTTTTTTACTCCATCTCTCTCTTTACGGAAAAGTTATCGACGCTGTAACACGTTTCTGCGCGCGAGAGGGAACGAGTGAGAGTTTTTTTCTTCCTCTTCTTTCGCGCGCGCGCGTGTGTGTGTCCGCGCGAGCTTTTTAACTCGCAGAAACGAAAATAACTCGATTAAAACTCAACTTTCCTCGGCTCTCTCTCTCTCTCTCTCTCTCTCTCTCTCTCTCTCTCTCTCTCTCTCTCTCTTAGCTTAAAAATAATGGCGCCCGTGGAGAAGGGGAGAGAGTTGCGAAGCTTTTAGTAAATTAAAGATCCGATAAATTGGCGTACGGTATACGTACAGAGGGAGAGCGAGTGAGAATGAATTTAAAAAAACACACTCACACCTGAGCCTATTTGTAGGCAACGGCGTTTGAGCTTACGCTCGGCCCGCTAATTAGCTACGTATACTTAAACTGTAACGTATAGTACACACTTTTTTTTGCAGGTAAGTGTTGGTAAGTCGTGTGCTGCACTGCACTGCGAACCGAGATTGGCTCAAGGAAACGTACTGGCCTTTTTTTCGTCTTTCGTCGATTTAATTTCGCCTATTTTAATTTGCCTCTCTCCGACTATACCCCCCAAAAAAAACGTTTACATAATTTATGTACATACAAAACGATCCGTAGAACATAGCTATATAACGTGTACGACCACGTACGATGTAGATATATACGTAACAACGTTCGACCGTTAATGAACATTGTTCGAAGATAACCCGGACGATCTGCTGCTGCTGCTGCTACGGTCGTGGCACGCGACAGAGTCGCGTCGAGCTTCGACAGATGTGTCGGCGGCGTCTATCTCGGGATCGCATCTCGACTACGAAATTTGCGAGCGATTCGCTCGAGCGTATAAAGCCCTCTTCTACATACATACGTGTGTGATATACCTGGCGCCCCTCGAGAACATACATATATTCTAATTTATACATCGAAAATCGCCGATGAAACGATAGTCCGCACTCCGCCCCGAAAAGCTCGGCTCGCAGGTTTACGCTCGCGCGAGACATTCCACTCGGATGATCGTATGCGGGAAAATCGAATGTGACTCGGGCGAGAAAAAAAGAGAGAGAAGGAAAAATAAAGGTAATAAAGTAGTCGTTTGTATATACATGATCGAGCTCGCGCAGGCTGTAAAAGCACAAAAAAAAAAGAAAGAAAGCGGATCAAGGACATTATATAATTCGCGCATCTTTCGCTCTCTTTTTTTTCGCGCTCTTTTCTCTCTTCTTTTGCATTTCGCGCGCGCGAGCGAGCGATCGCCTGCAATAAAAGCCAAAGAGAGCTGTATACAGAGTGTATATCTACTTTATGACAGTAGCTGCGGATATGTGCGCGAGAGAGTCGAAAGAGAAAATGAAATGCGTTTGTATGTGTGCATACGTAATACACATTTTTACGCGCGTTATATGTATATACGAATGTATCTGTCTGTCTGTCTGTCTGTGTCTCGTAAGGTACATCAAAAAGACGACTCTCTCGTGCGTTCTTTGCGCGACACGATGCACATATACACACACACACAGAGTTGTAAGAGATCGAGATTTGTGTGTCAGGGTTGATACGCGTCGTTATTATTATGATTTTGTAACTAGCTTTTGAAACGTTGTAAAGTGCAATGGAAAGGCTTTTTTGAGCTTAAGAAATGTCTATTAATCGGGTATAGTTAGAGGTGTTTTGACGAAAAATATTGAGTGAAAATCTTCATTTTATTATTATTAGTGGCTTCGTGTAAAAAAGAAAGGCGAGATAATAAACTCAAAATTGTGATTTTTATTTATTATGCGATGACAGAGCGCCTAGAATACAGTAAAATTATAATTAAATGATTTATTTATAAAGAATGATTATTAAATTTCTACATTAATGTATTGCAATGAGATAGTTTAACTTAGATTACATTAAATCGGTTGAATTTTCGAATTTATATGATTGTAGAAGTCATTTAAGAATCCAAATGTCTCAGAAGGAATTTTACTTGTCACAAACTGAATTTACGTGATTTTTGAGTGCATGCTGATATCCAAATGATTTGTGACAAATTTCAGACTCAATGGTTTTTCTACTATTATGTACTGTATTTATGTGAACTTTGAGATTATCATTTCGCTCAAATTTTCGATCTTGTACTGCAGTTATGTGTTTTTTGAGATCTCTCTTACAGCCAAATGATTTGTAACAAGTGTCACATTCAAAAAGTTTACAACGATCATGTACTCTTTTTACGTGAGCTTTGAGGCGATGCTGGTATCAAAATGATTTGAGACAAATATCGCATTCAAAGGGTTTTATACGATTATGTAGTGTGTTTATGTGCCTTATAAGTTTAGTCTTCTCTCCAAAGGATTTGTGACAAATCTCTCATTCAAAGAGTTTTCTTCTATCATGTATAGTCATCTTGTGCCTTTTAAGTGTATTCTTTTCTCCAAATGATTTATAACAAATCTCACACTCAAATGGTTTGCTCCGATCATGTACTGCAGTTATATGTTTTTTGAGATCACTCTTATAGCCAAATGATTTGTGACAAGTGTCACATTCAAAGGGTTTTATACGATTATGTAGTGTGTTTATGTGCCTTGTAAGTTTAGTCTTCTCTCCAAATGATTTGTGACAAATCTCACATTCAAAGAGTTTTCTTCTATCATGTACAGTCATCTTGTGCCTTTTAAGTGTATTCTTCTCTCCAAATGATTTATAACAAATCTCACACTCAAATGGTTTGCTCCGATGATGTACTGCAGTTATATGTTTTTTGAGATCACTCTTATAGCCAAATGATTTGTGACAAGTGTCACATTCAAAGGGTTTTATACGATTATGTAGTGTGTTTATGTGTTTTTTGAGATTACTTTTATCTCCAAATGATTTGTGACAAATATCACACTCAAAATGTTTGCTACGACTATGCACTGCATTTAGGTGAGTTTTGAGGTGATACCTACGGCCGAATGACTTATGACAAATTTTACACTCGAAGGGTTTTTCAAGATCATGAACTGTACTTTTGTGACATTTGAGTTTATTTTGCTCTCCGAATGACTTATGGCAAATCTCACATTCGAAGGGTTTGATCTGATAATGTACTGTCATTATATGCATTTTAAGTTTACACTGGTATCGAAATGACTTATGGCAAATTTTACATTCATATGGTCTAATACCCGTATGGGCCGAAATGATATGTCTTTTTAGACTCACTTTTTCTTTGAAAGTTTTTCGACATTTTTGACACTCATGACATTGTTTGGTTTTAGAAATTTTTCTTGATTTTTTTACTTTCTCATATTCTTCAATTTTCAATTGAGAATTTTCTTCAACTTGATTACTGTTATTATCGAATTCGTTTTTTATTAAAATTAACTGATCTTTATCATTGAAATAATTATCATTACTTCGATTTTCTTCTTTTACAATAGGTAGACAATTTCGATACTCAGTTTTGCAAATGGCTGTCGATAGAAACGGCAGTTCAGTTTTAACATCTTTGCACTCAAAATCGATGAATATTTTTTCATCCAACTCTCCATGTAACGGCTTAACTTTGTTCATGAGTTTTGCCTAAAATTGAAATCGTGTATTAGTTTTGAATGACTGAAAAACCAAAAATTATTAAAAATATTGAACTCACTGATGATTTAAAAACCGTGAACGTTTCAAAGTTGTTGACTTTGCGAGAATCCACCGAAACAAAATTATTACCTTCGGTAGTATCATCGTTTGGCTCCTCCTTCACTCTGAATATAATCATGTTTCATGAAACGATCAGTTGAAAGGTATAGGGTACCGCTTTCGACCAGTAAATGACCACTTTTGGATGTACAATAATTATTGTTTTTCCTTGTTAAATTATGTTCGAACATAGAAAACAAGATGCATCATTCACTAAAGAATTGAATAACGTCCATACAAATGTATTTTTAATTGTTTTTCATATGATATATTCCAAAATGATCATTCACTGGTACCCGGTCATTGATTGGTGTGACTACCCTATATTAAAGCTTAGATATGAAAAGTCATACCTAACTACGTTCCCGTTGTTTTCCATAACTTGGAATTTGGACGTCGTACACTGATGAAATATTTGAGGTTAAGCGTCTCGAGTTATTGGTGGTGAACTATTCTTTTTTACAGACGATGTTAGTGAACTTTTTTGAGTTGCTCGCTACCGAACGAACGCACTACCCTTACTTACTTATATTAGCGATCAGATCCCGGGATTGTTATCAGATTTTTAAATGGAAAATTACGTTGTGAATGTTGAAACTTCCTACATTTCGTAAGAGGCGTTGATAGCACCGCGGCTATTCCCCCCTCTACCGTCGACTGACTATACGCAATTATGTACTGCGATACGTTTAGAGGGATTCGTTAAAACTACACCATAACTGTAATGAAAATGTCATTCACATAGGCGCCCAATATATACCTACGGGCGATATGTGCGGAGAAACATTTGTACAAAAGAGAAATACATTTTTCGACACGCGCAGATCATCGCATAGTATTATTACTAGTATTATTAGTAATAAAATATCTACGTCGGCAGTGTCGATATTTTTACAAAATATAATGTAATTTCGATGTCACAGAGCCGTTTGTCGAGCCGAGATTTTATTATCGTGTTTAGAAATTTTCTTTCAAATTAACACGGTTACCGATTCTTTTTTATCGACCATCGAGCATACAGACTCTTCTGTGTTAACGAAAATCGGAATTGACGTGAGAAGTTGATGTAGAATTCTAGGCCTGTTTATATTTCAATGAATATAAGAATAGTCAATTAAAGATATTTTACGATTAAAACAAATTAAATTACATTATTAAATATTTTATTGATCTTTGCAAAATTTAAGATATACATAGGCAAAATTTTCTTAAATTATGTAGCATATTTATGCGATTACAGAAGGCTTTGTTGCGTCACAATTACGCGTAAAAAAATCGAAATTTTTAAAATCTTCAATTTAATGCATGGTAGGTATTCATGTGAGTTCTTAAAGTATCCTTGCGGACGTATAATTTGTGGCATATTTGACATTCAAATGATTTGCTACAAATATGTACTTCATTTATATGAGTTTTGAGGTGATAGTTGTATGCGAATGATTTATGACAAATATGACATTCGAAGGGTTTGATTCGATTGTGTACAAACTTTATGTGAGATTGGAGGGTTTCGTTACGGCCGTACCACTTGTGACAAATTTCACATTCAAGGATTTGATCCGATCATGTACTGTATTTACGTGAGCTTTGAGGCCACATTTAAGTCCAAATGATTTGCGACAAATCTCACATTTGAACGGTTTAATACGATCATGTACTGTAGTTGTGTGAATTTGAAGAGTTTCTTTTCGTTGGAAAGATTTGTGACAAATATCACATGCGAATGGTTTGATGCAATCATGTACTCCATTTATGTGAGATTTAAGGTGATGTCTTAGTGAAAATGATTTCCCGCAAATTTTACATTCAAAAGGGTTGTGAATATGTGCTGTCATTGCGTGACTTTTCAAGGTGTTCTGATATCCAAATGAGTTATGACATATTTCACATCCAAAGGGTTTGACCCGATCATGTATTATCTTGATATGAGATCGAAGGGTTTCCTTGCGGCCGTATGACTTGTGACAAATCTCACATGCGAATGGTTTGATGCAATCATGTACTCCATTTATGTGAGATTTAAGGTGATGTCTTAGTGAAAATGATTTCCAGCAAATTTTACATTCGAAAGGTTTGCTACGAATATGTACTGTAATTGCGTGACTTTTCAAGGTGCTCTGACATCCAAATGATTTATGACAAATTTCACATTCGAAGGGGTTGCTACGATTATGCAATGCAATTATATGAGATTTGAGGTTACCTTTATCTTCGAATAATTTATGACAAATGTCACATTGAAAAGGTTTACAAGGATCATGCACTGTTTTTACGTGAGCTTTGAGGTGATGCTGGTATCCAAATGATTTAAGACAAATCTCGCATTCGAAGGGTTTGCGAAGATTATGCACTGTCTTGATATGAGATCGAAGGGTTTCCTTGCGGCCGTATGACTTGTGACAAATCTCACATGCGAATGGTTTGATGCCATCATGTACTCCATTTATGTGAGATTTAAGGTGATGTCTTAGTCTAAACGATTTTTGACAAATTTCACATTCAAAAGGTTTGATACTATCGTGTACTTCGTTTGCGCGATTTGTGAAAGTGCATTGGTTTCCAAATGACTTGCGGCAAATCTCAAATTCCTGTAGTCTAAGGCTTTTATGTGTTGCATTCATATGTGCATTCAAACTGGCTCCTCCCTTAAAAATTTTTCGACATTTTTGACACTCATAAGATGATTCAATGTTTTGAGAAGTTGTATTCGATGTTTTCGCCTCCTTATATTCTTCAAATTTCAATTGAAGATTTACTTGAATTGGACCGTTATCGTCAATGAACTCGTTTTTTACCAAAATTTCCTGTTCTTTTTCATTGAAATTATTTGTCTGAATTTGATTATTTTCTACTTTCACAATAGGTAGACAATTTTGTGGCTCAGTTTTGCAAGCGGCATTCGATAAAAATTTCAGTTCTGGCTTAACATTCTTACACTCAAAAACAATGAGCATATTTTCATTCTTGTCATTCTTCTGACTTTCGTTTTCTATTTTTACAATTGACGGATAATTTTGGTACTCTGTTTTGTTGATACTCGTCGATAATGGCTTCCATTCAGTTTTGATATCCCGGTACTCACTATCTACGAAAAGTTTTTCATCTAACTTTTCCTGCAACGCCATACCCTCATTCAAGTGAGTAGCCTAAAATTAAAATCGTGTATAAGTATTTCATTGGTGAAAAAAAAAACAGAAAATAATTCAAATCATCGAACTGACTGACGATCCACCAAAAGTTAATGCTCTAAAGTTGTTCGATTCACAAGAGTCCACCGTATCTGACCAAGTCTCGTTCGGCTCTTGCTTCACCCTGAAGAATGATAAAATTTGAGGAGTCACTCGATAAAAAAGAATATTATCGTATGCACAAAAAATGTTGTACCTAACTATGTCCTCGAGGTTTTTCATCTCTTTTTTATACATGCTAATATTTTTGCATTATATATTATATATTATAATAATATAATAAAATATTTACGGAACATTTTCACGATATATACGAAGAAATGATTAGAGGTTAACCACGTGCAGCCAAACACTATATGGACCGAAATACTCTTTTACTGATATTATTTGTGCTGATAACACTTGCCTACTGAGGAATCGAGTTGCTCGTGAGCGACTCATCGCACTACTGTTACATTGGCGAGGTGTCCCCACAATCGCGATAGTTTCTTGAGAATATTTTCCCCTTCCTGCGGTCTTTCGTTACTCGTTCGTATGAGCTAAGTAAATAAAAATTTGTCGAAATTAAAAAAAATAATAACAAAAAATGTTTACTGCTATAGACTTGTTAAAGATAGTCGGTTTGGTTGAAACTTTAAATTCATGGAATTTCAAAAAAACGATCAAAAGTTAAAAATAATCATTTTCAAAGATTGAATACATTTTTTTTTAATCTAGAGACCCCTTTAAAACATGAAGTAAAATTTTTCGCAGTATAAAATGATTATTAAATTTTTTTTCTTTCATACTTTAGAGCCCAGGAATAACAAAGCATCAGCGAAGGAGTGGAGAATCCTAAAACATAGCCTTTTAGCATGACCTTTAAGAACGCATGCATGATCAAGATGATCATAAAAAATGTAAGGAAAGAGCTACAAGATTAGAGACGAGAACGAGCGTAGCGAGAAAAAAGAATTGGAAAGAATTACAAAAGGTAAAATGAAATGAAAGGAAAAATTATATTTACTTTTTTTAAATATTTATTGAACATTCATTCCTTTCAGTAAGAAAGGAAACCAAACGATATTATACAAATTGAAAAACTTATTGTAGTTCGTTAAAGTAAATATAGTCTTAAGAATAATAAATTGTAAAAAAAAGAAATATCGCGTGACTTTTTATGATATAAAATACAAAAGAAAAAGTAAAGGATAAATGAAAGGTAAACTTGGCGTCTACGCAAAATAAAAATAAAAACAAAAAGTTATTATAGAATTGAGCACTAGTTCGTTTGTGATGTATCATTGATATTTAGGAATGTTTAAGGCTTACTGGTTTAAAAACGCATTCATATTAATTAAGCAAAATTCATGTAGTGTGTTCAAATAATCGCGGAAGTATGTATTGTATTTCTGTGAGTTTTGAGGTGATCTTTGCGGCTATATGACTTATGACAAATGTCACATTCAAAAGGTTTTTTTCGATCATGAACTGAACTTACGTGATTTTTGAGTTTATTCGAGTAACCGAATGATTTATGACAAATTTTACACTCGAAGGGTTTTTTAAGCTCATGAACTGCACTTATGTGAGATTTGAGGTTCCTTTTTTCTCCAAACGTTTTGTGACAAATATCACATCCGAAGCGTCTGATACGATCATGTACTACGGTTACGTGAGAATTGAGGTTACTTTTTAGACCGAATGATCTGTGACAAATCTTACATTCAAAGGGTTTGTTACGATCGTGTACTACACTCACATGATTTTGAAGACCACTTATGTATGAAAATGTTTGATCACAAATCTCACATTCAAAGGGCTTGTTATGGTCATGAACTCCTCTTACGTGAATTTCGAGATGATCCTGGCGTTTAAATGATGTATGACAAATCATACATTCATAGGGTCTGATACCCTTATGAGCCAAAATGATATGTGTATTTAAAGTCGCTTTTCCTTTAAAAGTTTTTTGACAGGTTTGACACTCATGAGATATTTTGGCTTTAGAAGTTTTACTTGATTTTTTCACTTTCTTATATTCTTTAATTTTCAATTGAGAATTTTCTTGAACTTGACTATTTTTATCATCGATTTCGTTTTTTATCAAAATTAACTGATCTTTATCATTAAAATGATTATAATTATTTTGATTTTCTTCTTTTACAATAGGTAGACAATTTTTATACTCAGTTTGGCAACTGCTGGTCGGTATATATTGCTCTTGTAGTTCAACGTTCTTACACTCAAAATCAGTGGGCATATTTTCACTAAGTATGTCGTTGGTATGATTTTCGTTTTCTATTTTTACAATAGGTGAATAACTCTGATACTTAGATTTGCAGTCGGTTGTTGATAAAGACTGCAGTTCAGATTTAACATCGATGTAGTCAAAATCTGACAATATTTTTCTATCCAACTCATCCTGTAACTGCGTAACCTCGCTTGTGTGATTTGCCTAAAATCGAAATCGTGTAATAGTTTTGTACAGTTGAGTGACAGGGTATTTAATTTAAAAAATGTAACTCACCGATGATTCACAAAACGTGAATGATTCGAAGTGTTTGACTTCGCAAAAGTCTACCGGATCGAAAATATAATCGTCGCTTGTATGTGGTGAAGTATCTTTCGGCTCCTCCTTCACCCTGCATGCAATCAAATTTCATAAAACGATGTCTTGAAAAAACATTAGTACTTTGGCAAAAAAATGCATACCTAACTAAGCCGCCGTTGCTTTCCATAACTGGCTGTATTGAAAAAGATTCACTTTTTACGTAAGGTTTCTACGATATTATACAACGATGAAATGTTGGAGGTTAAGTCTTGAGTACAGCTAATACCGTAGCTCGATTTCTGAGTTGAGAACTACTTGTACTTTTATAAAGGTGTTTGATAACACTTTTGAGAGTCTTAATAGCGAATGAACTCGCTACTCGAATATTAGCGTCTTGCGACGAGACACTGGTATTGTCATAGCTTCTTGGCGATTTTTTCTCTCTCCACCGTCAACTGTATCGGGCCCTCGTATTGTGAATTGCTAACTGGTCATCTGGACACGCTATACACTTACACGAACGTGAAATATGTGCGGCTTATTTATAAATGAGGAATATTTTACCGAATTAGCACCGATACATGATTGTATTCAAAAACTTGCCCATTTAAATAGAATAAACATTTTTCCTTGCCATTACGAATTTTCATGTAGAATTGGTTAAATCAGTACTATTTTCGAAGCTAACATATCGACTAGCTAATTTAGATTTTTGCAAACGAGGAGAAGCCGCTATATCTCAGTAAACCTTATTTTTACGCAGATGATTTGAAATACTGTAAATTTAATCCCTAAATAGGGAAATGAAGTTTTTATGTCAACTATATCTGTCACTGCCGAAGGAATTGGTTCAAAATGATGTTTACATTGTTTTTTCACAGTTTACTCGATAATCTTCTCGAATTTTATGTATAATATGAGGTCCAAATTTGTTAAATAATTACTGTTATAATCTCAATAGCAATCTATCTTTTTTTGCATAGGTACCAAAAACCGCTTGCTCAATGTGTTTAGCGTTTTATTTCAACATTACGTTTATGATTCAGCAAACCATTACAAAATAAGGCATTATCATAAATATAATCATAATACAATAAAATCATTTAATTATGTATAAATAATTAACTCCAATAAATATTATGTTCTAAACTTACTCGATTATATTTCGAGAACCAATATCAGAATTTACTATTATCGCCATTTCAGAAACCTCATATTTTTCGATAAGTTTAAGAATTCATGGAATGATAGTGGTCGTTTCTGTCAATTTTATGATTCTTCGGTGTCAAATCAAATTCAATGGAGGTACATAAAATCTTAATGATCTTCGTGGACTTTCCTTTGATGTTTTGTCAAATCGTTGGAAGCCCCAAATTTCTCCTCGCACTTGTCACATGCAAAATCTTTAAGACCTTCGTGGACGGTCCTTTGATGCCTAAACAAATTCGATTTTACCCCAAACTTCTTTTTGCACTTGTCGCATTCATAATCTTTGAAACCATCGTGAATTGTTTTTTGGTGCACGAGCAATTGCTGTTTATGTCCAAATTTTCTATCGCATTTGTTGCATGAGAAACCTTTGCGACCTTCGTGAACTGTTCTTTGGTGTTTGATTAAATTTGGTTTTTGGGTGAATTTCTTCTTGCATCTGTCGCAAGCAAAATCTTTGCGACTTTCGTGGACTACTCGTTGGTGTCTGTACAAATTGCTTTGATTCCCAAATTTTGTTCCACACTTTTTGCATGCATGATCTTTGCGACCTTCATGGACTGTCCTTTGGTGTTTCAACATATCTGCCTTATGTCCAAATTTTTTCTTGCACTTGTCGCATGCGTAATCTCTGCGACTTTCGTGGACTGTGTTTCGGTGCTTTAACAAATTTGATTTGAGTCCAAATTTCTTCTCGCACTTATCGCATGCGAAATCTTTACGACCCTCGTGTACAGTCCTAAGGTGCTTTAACAAATCAAATTTATGTCCAAATTTCCTCTCGCAATTATCACATGCAAAATCTTTGCGACCCTCATGGACTCCCTTTACGTGTATGAGTAAACTCTGCTTATTTGCACATCTCTTGCCACACTTTTCGCATAAGTAATCTTTGAAGACTTCGTGAAATATTTTTTTGTGCTTGAGTAACGTTGAATTATTTTCAAATTTCTTCTCACACTTGATGCACGTGAAATCTTCGCGATCCTTATGTACTAATTTTTGGTGGGTCATTAAACTCGATTTTTTCACAAATTTCTTGTTACACTGGTCACATGCAAAATCTTTGCGGCCTTTGTGTTCTGATATTTGGTGTCTACTCAAATGACCTCGGAACTCGAATTTCTTCTCACACTCATCACATGCGAAATATTTTTGTTTTTTGTGAATTATGTCTCTGTGTGTTATCAGGCTTGATTTTAGTATAAATGACTTCTTACAAATATCACAAACGGGTCTTTTTTTGTCTGAAATGTTAATGATGTGTTCACTTGGTTTATCTTTTGAAAAAATTTTTTCGACTTTCTCCTCACTTTTATCCATTTTAGTGCTTAAAATAAGTGACGAATCAGTCTATTTAGTGCCAAGAAAATTTAATAAGTGAAACTAATCTTTTGGTATAATGGCTTGTTTCATCGAGTAAGTCAACACTCGAACTAATTTGTATTTACAGCTATAAACATGATCATTGCGACGAGGAACAATGTCGAAATCTTTTATTATCATACTGTTTATAATTAAGGTTCTGGTTTATCGATTCGATATGATTGATTGATTTATTTATTGCTATTGCTATTATTATAGTTATTGCTACAATAAATTATTTGTAGAAACTCGATTATCATTTGACCCACAATTGGATGCAATTGAGCACATTTGCGATTATGGGAAAAAACGGATGAAATTTTTTTAGCGTCAGTCATATTGCAAGCCACAGGCTTACTAGATTCAGCGGTTTAATTGAATATTCCATTTTTGATTGAGCAAACCATTATAATAAAATTATTATCACGATAAATATAATCATAATACAGATGAGAATGATCACCTAATTTAAAAAGACATTAGTTTCAATAACAATTTTCTAAACTTGATACAAAATATTTCAAGAATCAATATCTAGAATTTACTACTAGTAGTCGCCATTTCAGGAACCTCATGTTTTTCGATAAGTTTAAGAATTGATGGAGTGGTAATTTCTGTAACTTTTTTGGTTCTTCGATGTCTACTCAAATTCGATGTAGGTACATGAAATCTTAATGATCTCCGTGGACTGTCCTTTGATGTTTTAATAAATTTCTGGAATTTCCAAATTTCTTCTCGCACGTGTCACATGCGAAACCTTCACGACCTTGATGAGCTATTTTATTATGTGTTATCAAATTTCTTTGTTCTCCAAATTTCTTCTCGCAATAGTCGCATACGTAATCTTTGCGACCTTCGTGAACTACTTTTTGGTGTCTGTTCAAATTGCTTTGATCCCCAAATATCTTTCCGCACTTATTGCATAAGTAATCTCTGCGACCTTCATGTACTGTCTTTTGGTGCAAAAGCAAATTCTGTTTATGTCCAAATTTTTTCTCGCAATTATCGCATGCGAAATCTTTATGACCTTCGTGGACTGTTTTTTGGTGTCTGATTAATTTCGTTTTTTCTCCAAATTTTTGCTCGCAGTTGTTACATGCGTAATCTTTACGACCTTCGTGTACTAAGTGTCGATGTTTTATCAAATTGCTTTGAAGCCCAAATTTTTGTCCGCACTTGTCGCATAAATAATCTTTGTGACCTCCGTGTACAGTCCTTTGGTGCCTCAACAAACCTAATTTACGTCCAAATTTCTTCTCGCATCGGTCGCATGAGTAATCTTTACGACCTTCGTGGACTATCCTTTGATGTTTCAACAAATATGACTTACGTCCAAATTTATTCTCGCAATTGTCACATGCGTAGTCTTTACGACCTTCATGCACTATCCGTTGGTGTCTGAGGAAATGATGTTCAAGTCCAAACTTCTCCTCACACTTGTCGCATGCAAAATCTTTGAGACCCTCGTGGACTCCCTTTACGTGCATGATTAAACTCTGCTTACTTGCAAATCTCTTGACGCACTTTTCGCATAAGTAATCTTTGAAAACTACGTGGAATATCTTTTTGTGATTTAATAAAGTTGATTTACTTTCAAATTTATTCTCGCACTTGTTGCACGTGAAATCGTCGCGATCTTTGTGTACTAATTTTTGATGCATGAACATACTTGATTTTTTCACAAATTTCTTCTCGCACTCGTCGCAAGCAAAATCTTTGCAGCCTTTGTGTTCTGACATTTGGTGCCTACTCAAATGACTTCGGAACTCGAATTTCTTCTCGCACTTGTTGCATGTGTAATTTTTTCCTTCATTGTGATTTGTAGTTCGATGTGTTATCATACTTGATTCCAGTGTAAATACCCCCTGACAAATGTCACGAATGTATTTTTTGTCGTTTGAAACAACTATGCCGTGTTCACTGAAATTATTTTCCGAAATAACTTCCTCGGATTTCTTTTCACTTTGATTCATTTTGGTGCTTAAAATAAATGATGAATCAGTTTATTTGGTCCCACAGAAATCGTACAAGTAAAATCGATCTTATGGTATTATGGTTTGTTTCATCGGGCAAGACAACATTCAAACTAATTTGTATACTTACTATAAACATGATCATTATTCGAGGGACAATATCAAGTTGGAAAATTTTTCGATTTACATTCGTTTGAAAACCTACTCGCAACAAACGACGCAGTATCTTGAAAACGTTAATCTAATTCCATCGCGTACGTCTACACCACCACTATGTTCCGATTTGCCAATGCACGCCGAAGACTTCGCTGATAAAAATCTCAAGTGGGTTTAGAGATGTTCGTTTCCACGAAAAAAAGGTGTCAAGAAAAATAATTAATGGAACACATTTTTCGAGGGTACAACCTGTAGCATCAAAATACACGATGCGCTTGCTATAATTATCTGTTTTGTAATAAAAATGCCAGTAACACTGATCTATAAACATCTTAAATCTTGGCGCCATGCTGGCGAGGGTATGGAGCTTAACTGCAGTACAGTGGTCGATTGCTACAGCTATTGCAGAGAGATAGCTAAAGTAGTGGCATCGCAGAGTGATGTAGTTCTAGGCGGCAATGGCAAAACCGTTCAAATTTATGAAACTTCTTTGACAAAAAGAAGTGGATTTACAAACGAATCACAGCATCGATGAATACGTCGACAAGTCCAATTTTGAATACCATCAATGATTTGAAAAATCAAAATAAAATCTTGAAAAAATCCAAAAGAAGAACTCCATCAATATATGGCTTTAAATTTTTATAGCAGAACATTTTTGCACCAATATAAGGATGACTTTGTATCACAAATTATGACATTTCTCTTCGATATCAAGACCGTTTACTTTGATGTAGAATTCAAATTTGTATTTAAAAATCAAATTTATAACCTCTAAACCCCATAATAATCATAAAATAGCAGAAAATAGCATAAGAGTCCAAAAAAATGTGTTCTTCTCATTCGATTAAGCCAATATTATAATA